AACACTGCTCAGGTGGCACGCGTCAGACTGCCTAGCAATGAAATAAAATTGAAATATTTCGAACAACTGACGTAGTCGGTTCTCAGATATCAAATACACAATGCCTACGAAAGTTAAGCTTGCGCACAAAAGTCCAACAACCTAACAGCACCACAGTAACATGTAGAACTGAACATTACTTGAGCTCTGCTTACGTAAGTCTGTCGGTTTTGGTCGTTCTTCTGTTCCCCGTTTTGCAACATTTCCTCTTCGGCTTGCTTGATGCGCTGGCGAGCCGGCATCAGCTTGTTTTGCAGCTCTTCGCCGCACAGATCGAACACGTCCAACTCGAGCGGAAATTTCACTTCTTTCAAGATTTTCGCGCTCACCTGATCCTTTTCTTTGTAAAAGAAGCGTACCATTTGTATGGTCAGGTAAGCCGGCAAACGGCGAATGGTATATCTGCGAATGTAAACCGCGTCGCGGTCCAACGTCGACGAATATTTGACGATTTCCTCGCTCAGCTTTGCTTTCAGTCCAGTCTGCAGATACTTCACCTCTTGGGACAGAAAGCAACTGAGCTGCAGGAATTCCTCGGTGCTGTGCACCGGTGGTTCCTGCGGCGCTTCCTTGCAGGTCAGCGTCACGTCCATCACGCAGCCGAAGTAAGCGGTGATCAGAGACTTGCCAGTTACCAGGCCAAACTTCTCGCCACAAATATGTTCCTTGAACATACGCATCAGCTCCATCCATAGCTCGTTGGCGTCCTGCTGTTGCAAGCGACCCTGGCCGTCCTTGGCGGCGAAATGAGGCAGCGCCGCCAGCAGCGTGTCCAGCATCATGATTGTGGCAACCTCGCTCCCGTCTCGCTCCTCCATCGTCTGAAACAAGTTGCCAAGTTCGCGCAGCACGGCTGTTGGTGTCGGCGTTTTGTCACGCGAGCGAAACTTATTCAAGGCATCGACCAACTCTGGTACCGTCTTCAAGCATTGAATGGTGGCGCTCATGAAACATGTATTACCTAGAAGCAAAAGAGGTGCATAACGAAATAAGCATGAAGATTTAATACATCTAGCAGAATGGCAATTTACCTAAATTCAGCAGGCCAAGGGGCAGATCGAGGGCTTTTTCTCGTTCGTCGGCTGACAGATCTTCGAGAAACACCGGCTTCTGCACCGCCTGAGCCGGCTGGTCGTCCTCGACAGAGCCCATGAGCAAAAACAACGCACCCTCTTTGACGCAGAACCCCTCCCACGAATCGTCGTTCAATATTTTTCCCTTGAAAAGCACCTTCTGGCGACTGGGCTGAACGCCAGTCAACGCAAACAGCTGTGCTTTGAAAAGCAGCGGCTTTTCCTTCATATCAAGCACAATGTCTTCGAACTTTTGTCGACCCCATTTTACGTTGACCGCATAGGTGGACATTGTCGGATGGTGCCTAAAAGAAATCAGTTACAACAAACATCACTTCTGAGTGAATAATGCGAAGCGAGTCAAACAAGAGTACATCAAAACGAAATTACGAGGCATAATTTACAAAGACAACATTCACAGTATTGTACAGCGCCGCGTTTACTCACAACAAGCAAGCAGCTCCATTATTCAAAGGAAAACGAGGGAGCTGATCGACGAAATCACCCCTCTACGCGATTCAACAACGTTCGACGCCACAAAAGGAGATACAAGCCGATCAAATGACATGTACCAGAGAAAGTCTGGGAGTTCATCATTTCAGCCATTTCCGTAACTAACGTCGGACATCTGACTCAACCCTTGTAAAACAGAGGCTCACCACCAACAATTTAATAATTAAATCGTTAAGAGATTAAGAAGTGACTTATGAATATGCAATCAGTTTGTTTGCATCACATTCGATATGCCGTCTGTAAATGAGCTGCTTATTTGTCGAAAATGATTACTAATGCTGGCAACAGTTCTGCAACATGAATCAAGAAACTTCACTTACGAATATTAAAAAACTTGTGCTAAAACAACATGAAATACAATATCCTGACTAGTGGAAAACCAAATAATCAGACAATCAATTTACCCAGCCTGCAGAGTTCTTATTCTGAGAATTAATTAATGAGGCATTATGTTTAGTAGAACTTGGATACCAGGAAGTCGGTCAATTTCGATGACCGCATATCTTATCGGGTCGAAAACGCAGATGCGTCAGGCAGTGTCTCCAACGTTCCTGATTCTGTGCCAGCATTTAAGCTTTGGTAGATGACCCGAATCTGGGGCAATCATTTGATACATTCGCCTCGAAACATTTTTCGCCATCTCCGGGGTTGACTAACGGTTGACTACAAAAAATGTACTTCCAAATAGACTGCTAGGATTCGATGGCTACAAATATGAGAGACGGGTGGATTAGGTTTTCAAACGCTTCAGTTGTCGGCTGTCATTATGGAAAGCAACAGATATTTAATACTCACTGAAAAACTTTGTTACTGGCAACCAGTAAGATGATTAGCATGAAGTTTATAAAAAAGATCATTTCTGATGTTGCAAGAAGTCGTGTAGGAAATGATGCCGCCTTCATGTCTGAAGCTAAAGTTGCACCAGAAAGCGCCGTCTCTCGAGATCTAACTCTTATTCATACAGATACGTTGTCAATTTTTCATTAAGATACGGAATTAGAAATACGGAATTCACTACCTTATTTAACGTACCTTGACCATCTCATCGACTTCACCTGAACAAAAGTCGAAATATAAGTGATTTTCTGAATGACTGCAAGTGACTCCTGTAGTGACGGGTGCACAGAATGTAAATTAGTGATTTAATATATTCAACAGAATAAAACTGTTACAACATCCAACTCTCATTCATCAACAGTTGTCCTCAGGGTGACGTGAGCGCGACTTAAGCAACAAGGAAAATGATTAAAAATGTTCATTAGTTGGAATTAGCTCCTGACAA